ACAGGCCAGCCTTACTGCAGGGTTGATTTTTATAGTTTTGGGCCTGTTGGTCTGGTTGTACTTTTCTCTTTCTGCTGGTCTGCTAGTTGCAGCGGGTCTTGAAAGCAGTGATATGTTATGACATTGTCATCACCCTCATTATTGCTCTTTATATAACAGTAGCAGCATAACTGTGTTTTGATTTCTTGTACAAGGCATAAAGTGTGCTAGTGGCTCACTATTCACATCAATTTCATCAAAAAATGTTATTTCCTCCTTCTATTGATCATGATGTAGAGGCCCAGTGACATTAGGTAACTTGCCCAAGATCACACATGTGGAAAGCTGCAGAGCCAGACTTGGAACTGAGTCCATTATATCTGAATCCCACTGCACTCCAAAATTTGTTGAATGAAGGAATAGATAAACGTATCATGATTTTGATGTTCTGACTAATTCCTAGCCAGTACTTTACTGTTATTGGAGCTTAAGCTTTAAGTACTGGCTAGGAATTAGTCAGAATTTTATTTTTAAGGAGGAGCATATAATTATATATATTTTATACCTGTAGTGAATTGGGCACTATAGAAAACATGTAGAGGATTGTGTTTACCAACTTCATGTGGAGTCAGGATACCTGACTCTGGCTTGCTGATAGTCAGGTAAGTCAGACATGGGCAGGGCATAAACCAAATTAGACTATTTCCATTTGACTAAGCCATATAATCAGGTGTAAGCCACGGAAAGAAATCTGGAAGGACAGGTGCAACATTAGAAGATGCCACACAACAGTGATTGTTAGAGGTTCAGACTTGAGAAAGCCAATTGGAATCAAGAAGGCCTAACCCTGGGATTCTCTCACTGAAAAGAAGACTGGTAGCAGGAAGAGGACATGTAACATGAATTACATTATTAGATTTGTGTCATAATAACAAAAACAATAATGATAATAACACTAATAGCTTGTTATATACCATGCCCTGTACTAAGAACTATACATATGTTATCCCATCTAAATCACATTTAATAGATTCCCATTTTTCTCATGAGAAAATTGCATCATACAGAGATGAACTAACTTGCTCAAGGCTATAGACCTGGTCATTAGCAAAGCAGGGATTTGAATTTAGATGTATTTTTCTCTGAAGCCTGGGTTTAGATAAATGGATCTGGAAGCACTGGGAAGGATGAATTAATGGGATGGAGTATAGGGGATGCAGAGTGCCCACTTATGGAATGATTTCATTCAAGAGAGACAGGAGGGTCAGAGGTAAGAATGCTGCTGCTGGGACAGAGAATAAGGTACAGATATGAGATATGGTAAGAAGGTATACTACAGCAGTGGCTCCCAGATTTCAATGAGTAGCCAATTCTCATGGAGGTTCTGTTTATTTATTTTTGATGATGATTCCCATGGCATACCTTGAATCTTCGGAATCAGAATCTCTGGAATACAAGTTAGTATTCTTATAAAGCACCCTAGGTGATGCTGAAGCTCTGCCAGGTTCAAGAACCACAGCTCAATCGGCCTTGATTTAGAGGTTTGGGGTGGAGCATGAGAGAAAGAAAAGATTTTGGGGTGGCATCCAGGTTTCTGAATTTTGTGACTAAATGAAGTTTTTGGAGGGTAGGTAAGATGCTGAGTTCAGTTTTGGATATGTTGAGATGGTCTGGTCCTGTGGATTTAGTTGGATATTAGCGTCTAAAGCTTAGAAGTCAAGGCTGTAGATTTAGATATAGAGGACACTGGTGTTTGGGTGGTGGTTGTTCTATATTTTACATGGAATTTTCAAAATACTCAAAACTTCAGTTTTCCCTCAATAATTAAATAATCACTTTACATCTTTGTGATCTTAGATCTCTTTCTGACCATTGATTGAAACTTTTGCTTTTAAAATTTATGTTACCATTTCTTAATAGTTCCTTAAGAGTCATGCATTGTTATAAGTACTTATTTGCACCATCTCATTGGATTCAAACCAACAATTGTTAAAGTAAAATTTATTGTTCCTGTGTTTTAGATGAAGAGAATTAGGCATGTTATGTAACACACCCAAGGTAATATAGTCAAATAATCGAGCCAGGATTTGAGCCCAAGTCTCTTTCTGACTCTAGGCTTAGAGCTTTTGGGCTATTTCACAAAAGGGTTGTTCCTAGGTCAGGCAGATAACTTCTATATTACCTTCATAAAAGAAGAATATAATCTACCACTATTAGATTTTGCAGGTTAATGTCATATTATGTTTAAATACAGAAAAGTTTATTTAAAAGTCAGTTGAATTTCTCTTGAGAAATTGGCCATGTAGTAAATTATATTTAATAAAAGAGTTTGTGTACTTCCCAGGGAGCAGAGTATTAGCCTGATCAAAGCACCTTTCAACCTTTATTTAACAGCATGTGGGTAGTCTACATTTTTTGTACTCTCAGAGAAAGCGGGTGGGGAGGGGTGTGACATTGGTTTTTGTCTCTGGGAGTTCTGTTGCATGATTTGACCTCCCAACTTGTTTTGTGGGGCATATCCAACTTTGGGTTGAAACTAAAATGGGTTCTTGGTAATCCCAGATTGAAAATATGTCTCAGCAGTAACATTGTTTATCTTCAAGTTTAGGTAAATACAGACATTTACCATGCCTTCTTGGTAGCAATGTAAGAATGAGTAGGGCTATGAAAAATGCACAGGGCATTCATTATGAAGACTGGCTGGTTAAAACTGATAAACTAAAGAAATTGCATTCTTTTCCACAAGCTGAGTCATACAAATGAAATTGTGGAATCATCTGGGCCAGCAGCTGTAATATGATACTTAATCTCCGTAAGTGACAGATATCTAAGATAACACTAACACCCAGACGACAACTCAGGCAACACCAGCACAGTGTTTTGGTATGAGAACAGAAGAAATGTTAGTAGAGTGAGCATTTTTCCACAGAGAACTCAAATATGGTAACACTCTCATAGCCTTGATAATCCCCAATAAAGTGTGGTTACTAAAATGCATGACAAAAAGAACTTCTATCTCTAAAGAACTTCTTTATATATTTCCATGTATAAGACATGGAAATACTTGGGTTAGGATCAAGGAGAAAAAAGTTTATCAGTTAATTAAGAGTTAGGTAGCTAGTTTGCCCACAGATTAATTTGTATGAGGCAAAGGAAATCGCACCTAAATAGGAAAAAGCAAGCTTACCCTCAAGGTATGCTTTTCCCAACCCCACCTTGCCAGGTGCACTCCTTATTCCTCAGGTGTGCCTGTTTATCCCACGGACCTTGCCACACTTACATCTTGTTCTGGCCCCACAGCGAGGAACATATAAAAGATCCCTGTCTTGCCGGGAGCGGTGCCTCACGCCTGTAATCGCAGCACTTTGGGAGGCCGAGGCGGGGGGATCACGAGGTCAGGAAATCGAGACCATCCTGCCTAACACGGTGAAACCCCGTCTCTACTAAAAATACAAAAAATTAGCCAGGCGTGGTCGTGAGCGCCTGTAGTCCCAGCTACTCGGGAGGCTGAGGCAGGAGAATGGAGTGAACCCGGGAGGCGGAGCTTGCAGTGAGCCGAGATAGAGTCACTGCACTACAGCCTGGGCGACAGAGACTCCGGCTCAAAAAAAAAAAAAAGGTCCCTCATTAGATCTCAGGGTATCTTGGAGTCACTATTGATCCTTGACCTCCCTCCTTGCTCTGACCGTGTCTTGACAAGTGTTCGAGTCTCCTGTGCTAAATGTCTATTTGTTGTCTGGATTAGGTTTTGTCTTGTTTTTCTACTTCTTTGCATCTCGTAGCCCATTTCTTTGATTCAATTTCACAACCTCTTGATTTTGTCCTTAAGTATGTGGCAACACAATCCCTCCGGAGGCAGGATAGTTCAATAGAAAGAAGATGAATCTTGGGGGTCAGAAGATTTAAACTTCCAGAATTTAAATTTTCATTCTACTATTACTAGATTTATAAACTTTATCAAATCACTCTCCTACTCTGTTCCTTAATTCTACATATTTAAAATTGGCATAAAAATCTCAATGTGGTAGAGCTATTGAGATGAAAATCAGAATAGATACAAAGAACTTGATAGCCCCAAGAAGCTTGATCACTATTTGTTTAATGGCCCTTCCTGTCTTCTCATATCTCAGTTCAGATCCTACTCAGCCATTTATTTTATTTTGTTCCTTTTGGAGTACGGAATAAAGCCAAGAATTATGCTTAAAAATTAGCATAACTAAAAGTATTTAAAACACAAGTAACTTGAGAAAGGTGAGTTGGAGGTTTATGTCTAAACTCAGTATTTTTTGGAGAGAAATTTACCTGTCAGGGCCAGATTAAAACATTTACAAGTCCCGTGCACATGTGAGATGAAGATGCCCGTCCACTTATCTCACATGTAAGTTAAAAGTTAAAAAGTGAAAATGTCTACTAGAGTTCAATAATATTCTTAATTTTATCCCCATGACTTCTCTGAAGCTTTTAGAAAATATGAAATTCTTAAAAACAACAGTAACCCACATTTTTATTGCCCTGGTTTGCCCTATCGTATCTTTCTCCTGCTCACAGAGTCTGAGGCAGCTGGGATAGGAGAGAAGGATTATCAGCCAATCAATATTTTTTGAACCCCAGAGATTATTTATTTATCTATCCATTTATTTATTTTGAGATTATATTTTATCTGGAACCTTAAAAAAATATTAGGTTCCAAACTGTGTCTACTGTGTTTATTTTATCAATATGTCCCAGATTTGTATTACTTATTTGTGATTCTGAATAATATTTTTTCCGACATTAATTATCAGCCTCTCTGTGCCCCCCCAAAATTATTACAACGTATGTTAATGTACACTATGGCAAGCCATGTGAATTTTCTACCCAACAGTTGTTTTCTTCATGCTTCCTTGCCAAGAGAACCCCATTATTGGTCAGTTACTAGTCACATGATCTTCTTTAGCCCCTCCTTAGCCCCTGTAGGTGAATCAGGAGTAAGCTAAGGCAATTGTGGTAATTCTCCGTTTTCTTGGAAATGTTTGATTTAGATATGGAGAAGAGGTGCAACCTTGCTTATGAAATGAGAGGGCAAATATGGGAAACTTTGAGGTAAGTTTTCTTTCCCCTTGAAAGGGACCAAAAAGTTGTGGTTTATACTTTCTTGACTTTGGTCACTGTTGGGTGAAGAGTTGGTGATATAGAAGCCACCTTGAGACCATGAGGGGACAAGTCTGAGGACACAATTACATGCTACTGGTGGCAGAGGACACTATAGCAAGAACCTGGATCCCTGATGACATTAAACCATTGACTTAGTCTACCGTGGAACCATCAGGAAATAATCCTTAGTTTTTTTGGTTTTTTTTTTTTGAGACGGAGTCTCGCTCTGTCACCCAGACTGGAGTGCAGTGGTGCGATCTAGGCTCACTGCAAGCTCTGCCTCCCAGGTTCACGCCATTCTCCTGCCTCAGCCTCCCGAGTTGCTGAGACTACAGGTGCCCGCCACCACGCCCGGCTGATTTTTTGTATTTTTAGTAGAGACGGGGTTTCACCATGTTAGGCAGGATGGTCTCAATCTCCTGACCTCGTGATCCACCCGCCTCAGCCTCCCAAAGTGCTGGGATTACAGGTGTGAGCCACGGCGCCCAGCCAATCCTTAGTTTTTTAAAGATACTTTTAGTTGTGTTTTCTATTATAAGTATCTGAAAGCATCCTAACTAGTCAATGCTATATGTATCTCTCACAGTTTATGCTTATTTTTCAGAAATGCCTAGTGGAAATTTCTATTGCTGATTGTATTTGTCCTAAATAAATTGAATAGACTGTCAATCTTTTGAAAATAAAAGCATGACTTGATTAGCAATTGTTTAGTCTGATGTTTTCCAAATTTCTGTCATTTGCATACCACTTCTTTGATTTTGTCATATCCTTATATCATCTGCACTAATAGAAATATTTTTCCTTAAGTTGTCTCTTCTTTAAAAAATTAAATCCATTTATTTTGAAGAGAAACTTTTTCACTAACTATAAATTAAAAACCAATATCATTTGCCTTAAATAGAAGACTGTCATAAAAAGAAATGCCGTGAGTGAAGTAATGTTATTAAATGTTTGTCAGATATAGTTTCCTATGAAGACTCTGAGCTTGTGGCTTGCTGTCTCTGTTGAAAGGAGAGACTAAGGAGTGTTATAGAAGTGGTAAAATAATCCTTCCCCTGACTGAGAATATTTCCTTGCCACAATCAGAAGAACTAAAGGAAAGGAGGATATCTGCTAATATATGAATTTACCTAAATGTCATGCTGTGACTTCTAAAATCATGTGGTGTGCTCGGTTTCCCCTTGGAGCTGACCTAGGCAGAGAGCCCTCTCAAGGGCCTGGCGTCCCAAACAATATGTACTGGAGCAAAGCTCCAGGAAACCCTGAGGAGAAGAGAAGGGCTTAAGGAGCAATCAGCTTTTGATTGGTGGGATTATGAAAGGTCGTAAGAAGCGAATGTTGCAATATTTTATTATACTTGATATTAAAGCAAGGACCAGTAATAATTTATTATTCTCTCCATGTTAGTGGTATTTACCTTTTTGGAATCATGTACCCCATTGAGAATTTCTGGAAAACCATGGTTCTTCTACTCAGGAGAATGCACAGTTGCACACATACACAAATGTGCAAACACACACACACACGCACACACACCGAATTTTCACAGAAGGTCAGTAGGTTCACAGGCCCTAGGCTGAGAACCAGCATTCTGTGTATTTTACATGTGTTCTCTTACAAGTCACCGTGTGATTCAGTTCACTCCAAACTGCTGTTAAGTGCAAAACATGGTTTTTGAATATATCTATCAATTAGTAAGAGTGGTATGTTAATTTAAATACACTAAAGTGGAGAATTACTGTCCTCTCAACAGCTTCTTTAAATAGACATAAGTTACAGTGATATTGGCTTCCAGGAGGCTTCAAGAGATTAGCTCAGGCTCTATAAAGAAAAAAATCACCCAACCCTATAAAGTTATCCTTGTGAACTTTGAAACACCACTGTATGTACCTAGTAAAAATTATCCCTGGGTAAGCAGACTCCCAGACCTGGGTGGAGTTCACATGAGTCCTTTGCTAAAATAAACAGAAGTGACTGGGAACTTTGGATTGTCTTTGTCTGAACTTGAGTGTCTGGATGGATCAGCATCAGCAGCATACCACACACCTGCTTGTCCAGCCAAAGAGAAACTCAGAGACTTGGCATTTGTTTTTTACATTGTCAACTGTGCAAAAATATCACATGATTCTAATTTATGAGGGTCCATTCATTTTAAAAATACCCCCTGACATTTTTCTAGCCAAATAATTTTTCCTTTAAAAGGCACAGGTTGAGCAACAAGATTAAGTAGATCACTTTAATCTCTAATTTCAAAAGATAATAGTTAAAAATTCAACTGTAGGACTAACACATTAACTATGTAATAAGACCCAGAATAGTCTTTGGAGCAAATTTCAGTGGATACTTGATCAAACTAATGTTGAAGACAAAATCTTGAATTGATGATATTTATCTGATACAATTCTTTACATAACATATGTTAAAAAAATTAGAAAAATTTCATAGGTTAGATGTTCATTATCTTCAAGTGAAGTTACTTGTTTTGTATTAAGAACCACAAAAACTTACTGAACTTTTTTTTTTTTTGGACAGGGTCTCACTCTGCCACGGAGGCTGGATTAGAGTGGCTCAATCATAGCTCACTGTAGCCTTGACCTACCCAGATTCAAGCGATCTTCCCACCTCAGCCTCCCAAGTAGCTGGGGCTATAGGCACATGCCACCATGCCTGGCTAATTTCTTTCTTTTCTTTTTTTTTTTTTTTTCCTTATTTTGTAGGGACAAGTTTTCTCCATGTTGCTCAGGCTGGTCTTGAACTCCTGGGCTCAAAGCGATCCTCCCACCTCAGCCTCCCAAAGTGCTAGAGTTACAGGCATGAGCTACTCTGCCCCCCTAAATGTCTTACTTTTTTTTTTTTTTTTTAATTTGGTATTAGATTGAGCCAATGATTAATTTCAAACATTTATAAATGACTAAATTCTAACTGTTTGACTTAAAAGTACTTGATCAACGTAATGTTGAAGAGAAAAAAATCTTGAATTGATGATATTCACCTGATACAATTATTTACATAACAAATGTTAGAAATATGTTAGAAAAACTTCATAAAAACTTAGATGTTCAGTATCTGCAAGTGAAGTTACTTGTTTTATATTACAAAACACCCACCAGCTTCCTTTAGTTTTTAGTTTACTCATGGCTTGGCTAGAGACATCTAAAAGTTATCAAGTGTCTCAAATATCAAGTGTCTTTATTTCAGGTCAGTAAAGAAGAAATTATCTGCCGCACTGGCTTGTGAGCTTAAAATTGTCTCTGGAAGGATTTCAGATTTAATTTATTTATTTTTTTCTTTTTTTGAAACGGAATCTCATTCTGTTGCCCAGGCTGGAGTGCAGTGGCATGATCTCATCTTAGCTCGCTGCAGCCTCCGCCTCCCAAGTAGGTGGGACTACCAGCATGGGCCACCACATCTGGCTAATTTTTGTGGTGTTTTGTTTTGTTTGTTTGTTTGTTTGTTTGTTTGGTTTCACCATGTTGGCCAGGCTGATCTCTAACTCCTGACCTCCGTTGATCCACCTGCCTCAGCCTCCTAAAGTGCGGAGATTATAGGCATGAGCTACTATGCGAGCCTCAGATTTAATTTCTTAATAATATCATGAAACTGTAGTAGTAGCCACAAATGTTTATTCAAAATTTATTTTTCCAAAGCAAATAAAGATTGACTGAATTTAGTTGGTGGCAAACGTGTTCCAGGGGTTTGAGCACAGAATCAGTTTGATGACAATTAAATTATAATGCTGACTTTCTTTGTGGCCTCTGAATATGTAAACTCTCCTTCCCCAACTTCTTAATCTATGAAGTGATGCTCTCCATGCATACGTTTTTTTTTCTTTTTTTACTAATATTGGAGATGTTCACTGGGTAAACTTTCTGAAGTGCATTAAAACATTTCTGATGAATGTGTGAGAAATGTAGTTTAAATAAAACATGATTAGCTCTTTGTGGGTTACAGAAAACATCAACCCATCATCCTTTATGTAACAATAGGTATATATTTGATATGACTATATATAGTCTAGCGGGGACTGAAATCTAAGACTAGATTGTATGGGGTAATAAAAATAGACTAAAAGTTCTGTTAAGGCTCTCATGTGAACGCACACACTTGCATTTGTCAAAGGAGTGTCTATTTTGTTATTGATTTTATTCTCAATCATTGAAGTATGTTATATTTGCACAAATGCTTTAAGTTGGTGAGTGATAAATGCTTCCTTGTAAATAATCCCCTTAAAACAAAAGTTAGTCTTAAATCTTACTGAAAATCCCATTTAGATTCTTAAAAATGGTGTTGGTTTAAAGGAATAAATACACTGATTTAATCCTAGGGCAGTGTTTTTAGTGTGGTCCCAGAGCTACCAACTGAAAGTCACCAAGAGCTGGTTCAAACTCTAAATGTCTGGGTTTCTGGGCCATAGAACTTTTCTATTGGCCAGAATTTCCGAATGTTTCCCTGCTATTTGACATCTTATTAAATGCCACAGATTATTTTATGTGCTAGGAGGTTAAAACTGTTGTCCTAGAGAGTTTATCTCTGAGGATTCAAGTCATTTCCCTCCCTGAAGAAAGTTAACTGTGAACAGCATTTCCATTTCTTATAGCTCTAGAGGACAGACGGTAGTTTGTTTTAGGTAAGAAGGGAGAATCAAGCTGAAGACATTATCAACATAATCCTTCCTAATCCGTTCCTCTTCTTTATCATCACCACTGCTATAGTTGCTGCCATTTATTGAGCATTTGCCATATGCCAGGCACTGTGCTAATTGCCTTTCAAACATGACCTCATTTAATCCTCATAATGGATTTTATGGCTGCCAGATTACAAGAAAGGAAACAGGAGCTTCAGTTCATGCAGTTGGTACAGGACAGGACTGGGAAGGGAAGCTTTATGGTTTTCAATAGTGACTTTAAAGTGGTTGTCATGACCTAAAAATAGAGAACTGGGTGAGGAAA